ACCTTAGTCTCCAGAGAGACACCATTGCTCTTCAGTACTTTGGAGAGGTCCCTAACAGCAGACTTTCCCATGGCAATACATCTTTTGATTTCCTGACTCCTGGTGCCAAGAGTGTTGATTGTGGATCCAAGCAAACTAAAGCTGTGTACAACCTCAATCTCTTCACTATCCATCCTGATGCTGCCAGTTGGTCCAGTGGTGAGAATCTTTGTCTCATTGACCTTGAGCCTCAATCCATATTGTAGGCTGCAGTCCTTGACCCTCTGTAGCAGGTGCTTCAGGTCCTCCTCAATTTCAGCAAGTAGGGTTGTGTCATCTGCATAACGCAGATTGTTAATAAATCGTCCACCAATCTTGAGCCCACATTTCTCCTCATAGAGCCCAGCCTCCCGGATAAACTCTTCTGCATATAGATTGAAAAGGTATGGAGATAGGACGCATCCCTGGCATACGCCCTTCCCAATTTTAAACCATGCAGTGTTCCCTTGCTCTGTTCTGATGACTGCCTCCTGGTCCAAGTATAGATCTAATATACAAATGTAAAAAAAAAATCTTGGAAATAAATAAGGAAGACTGGAGCACGGAGAGGACAGAAGGAAGAGCCACATCTGTTGACTCTGACTGTAGAGACATCCGCATTGATTCTGGGCAGCTTCCGCCTCAGGAAGCACAGTGTCCAGGTGAGGGGTGGGAGGGTATTGATCTACAGAGACAAGCAGGAGGATGCAACAGAAATTAGAATCGTGGCCAAAGTTGAAGACAGAGCACGGCCATGAGTAGACAGTTCATTCTCCTCTAGACCCTTCGTTGGCATCTCAGGGCGTCTTGGGTAAACACATATATCTGCTAACCAAAAGATGAAGGTTCACACCCACCCAGAGGTGCCTTGGAAGCAAGGCTTGGCAATCTCTTTCCAAAAAATCAACCATGAAAACCCTGTGAGCACAATTCTAGTTCTACTCTCTCTGCGTGGGAACACCATGACAGTCAACTCAAGGGCTGCAGTAGAGGGAATTGTATATGGATCTTGTAAACACGGCCTTGTGATTCCAACAAAATAATTGTGTGCGGCTATGGAAACAGATGGGATGACTCCACAGATAAAAACCACACAAGGTCTGTCCAAAGACAGGGGAGAAAGAAAATACTAAAAGGACTGTCAGACAAGATTCTGGATCTTGCTCTGGGATGTGAAGTAGCTAAAGTAAAAGAAAGAAATGATGGAGAGAGAGAGAGCTGAATAGAAGATTTCTAAGGGCAGCTCAAGAAGACAAAGTAAACTATTATGTTGAAATATTAGAACACATGCAGTTAGAGAACTGAAAGAGGAAAAAATGCTCTTCTGCATTTCTTATGCTAAAAAAACTAAAGCTCAAATTCAAGTTTGGAGTTGCAAAGTTGAAGGATACTATGAACAGTTTTATTTATACATGAAGCATCAAAAGAAGATAGAAAGAAAACGCTGCATGACTATACCAAAAATAATGGGTCAATGCACAACCATTGCAGTAGGTAACAAATGACTAAGAAGTTATTATACATTTATTTCCTTCCTATGCTGACCCTCTAATTTTCCAAGCATGACGCCCATCCCCATAATTGGGGATTGACTTATAGAACGGAAGAAGAGTGCAAATTGCCCATTTTTCTCCAGCAGAGTGCCTGGTGGATTTGAAACATGTTGGTAGCTCAACTCTTCATCCCTAAGCCAACAGAGCTCTGCTAAGCAAAATTATAGAACCACCCTGGTGTGCCTGGAAATTTTCTCCACTTAGTAACTTACATCTGTCAAAACAGAACCCAAGTCAAGCTCATGTGATATTACCACCCCCTTGTGGTCAAAGCCTTTCCGTTACTCAGCCTTAATTCCTCCAAAGGGCGGGGGATCTGTCTTGGCAAAAGTGTAACCAGAATGTTCTTTACAATAAGCAAGGATGGTGAAATTCCATCTCACTTACTTTGTTCATGTTATCAAGGGTACCAGTCTTTGGAAAAAGACATTATTCTGCGGAAAGTAGAGAGAAGGTCAACAAAAGAGGAAGACCCTCGTGTAGATGAATTGACATAATTCTGTGTGACGCAGACTGTAGCAATGGGCTTAGTCATGATGGAATTGATTAGGATGGCGCAGGATAGGCGAGGTTCTGCCTTTGTTCACAGAGACACTGTGAGTCTTAGTTGACTAGATGGCACTTAACAGCAATAACAACTCACGGTGGTCAAATCAGAAACAACTTGTAACTGGCCCTCTGGGAGGTTTTTGGAGGATGTGAATCATCTTTCTCTTATGGAGAAACTGGTGGATTTCAGCTGCCAGAGAGAGATAGCTTTTGAATTAGCAGCGCAACTCCTCATAGACTATGCCACCGGAGCACTGGTTAATGAGGAGAACTGCATCTTCCATTATATATCCATGTGATCCATGTGAAGGGAGTCCTAGTGGCTAGTGTGTAAAGCTAATAACAGAAAGGTCGATGGTTCAGATCCATCCGCCTCTCCTAAGGAGAAAGATGGGCAGTCCCCTCCTGTAAAGCAGTTTTACAGCCCAGAAAACTCAATGGATGGTCTCATGACTTGACTGCAGTGGGTATGTCTGTATGAAGGAGCCATGACTTTATCTTCCCATTTGACAATTATCCTTCAACAAAGTTAATTAACTTACCCAAGTACACACTGCTCACAAGGGTCTTAAGTACATTCTTGCTCTGGAACTCGCAATCTCAGGCTTCAAGAAATGAGACAAGGACCCTGGGAGGTTCAGCTCTCTCTCAGTAGTCAACCTTTGGTGGTTTTTATTGCTCAAGTGGTGGTAATTAGCTTTGCTAAGTGAGTTCCGGTTCAGTCCCAAAGGCACGTGGTTCCACTCTGCTGCTTCTCAGGAGAAGGATGGCAAACTCCTCCCGATTGATTTAAGCCTCTGAAAGCCTGCTGGAGGCTCAGCTGTGAGCTGGTTTGACTTGAGGGCTCATAACAACAATAATAACAACAACAACAACAATAACAAGTGTGGAAAGATAGCTGGTGTGTGACCGCAAGCACGTGGTGACCAAATGAAAGGTGAGTGACTTTACAGGAAAAAGACCTCCTTGAATGATGATTAAGGTTCTCAAACTAAACCCACTGCCTTTGAATTAAATGTGACTCACAGTGACGCGAATCCCCCCTCACCCCCAGGACGTTGTAGAACTGCCCTGTTGGGCTTTCCTAGGTTGTGCTCTTTACAGACATAGCTATCTCATCTTTCGCCTTCATAGACCCAACCAGCAGATGAATGCTTTAACCACTGCACCAACAGGGCTCCTCTCCAAATCTCCTCAAAAGGAGGCCTCTCACCATTTGGGAAGTGGGAGGGATGGAGGACAGTAGGATCTCTGAAGTCTGGGACTGGGAGCTGAGCTTGGTCTCCCCGGTAACTCTTCCTGATAATGTGAAGCATCTCCTGTATTCTTTTCACACCTGGGGGCACAGACACAGGGCAGAGAGAGGGTCAATCCGCATGCATACAGGAAGCAGGTGTGCACAGGCGTGCCCCAGGCTTGCTGCAATGAGATCAGAGGCAGCCACTTACCTGGTGGTTGAGCAGACAGTCAATGAGGAAGATGAAGGTCCCTTGCGGGCTGTTGATGATGGTGAAGAGGTAAGGCCTTACTGCATAGAGCAGGACTGACGTCGGGGTTGGGGAAGACTGAGAAAGATTATGTTCACTGCATTGAAACAGATGAGGGAGAGAACTGTTTAAAAGGGATATGTGATTAGGTATTTTTGTCATGACAGGAGTCCAGAGAGAAGGCTGCATGGTGGAGTGGACCTGGGGGGAGGGATTGTAAAACAATGAAAGAATTTCACTTTTCAAAGAGAAGAGTGTGCTGAGGGGTGGGGGGTGGGCAGGGAGAAGAGTGCAACAATGGATGAACAGAAATCCAAAGTCTCTGTAGATTTTCATTGAAATGAATTTTTTTTAAAAAAAAAGAGGTAAGGCCTTGAAAACGGGCTATGGGTCCAATCTGGAAAATGCCCGGCACCCAGGAGCAGCCCAAGTTGAAGAGCTGAGCAAAGGCCTTGATCGTCAGTAGTCTGGAGGGAGATTTTCAAAAGAAGATTCTAGGAGGGGCTGCTGGTAGTGTCAATGCCCGAGCTATTAACTACTGAAAGGCTGGCATTTCTCCCACACCCTGGAGGAGCTGTGAAAGAGAGTTCTGGAGATACTTTCTAAAAATCAGCAACGGAGACCCACAGAGTGCAGCTCTTCCCTGACACAAACAGGGTCTCAGTCACAATGACTCAATGGCAACTGTTGCTTTGCTTTGCTTTATTTTATACACATGGGGTCAGGTAGTGCGATGGAGAAACGCTGGGCTGCTTTTTGAAAGACTGACGGTTATAACCCTCTAGCATCTCTAAGAGAGAACTACATGGAAATACTGTTGTTATGTGCTATGGAGTCGACTACATTCATGGTGATTCTATGAAGAGTAGCCCTGCACCCTGCCCTAGCCTGAGCCAGTCTCACCGTCACTGAAACACTCGCCCCTTCCCCCATTCCACAGTTTCTGTGTCAATACAGCTCATCTAGAGTCTTCCTTCCTATGCTGACCCTCTAATTTTCCAAGCATGACGCCCATCCCCATAATTGGGGATTGACTTATAGAACGGAAGAAGACTCATCAATAACATTTGACATGCAAGTGACATGCCTTTACTTCCCGAAAGTGAAGAGGACGTAAAACACCTGTGACGCAAGGTCAAACGCTGCAGCCTTCAGCATGGATTCCATCTCAGCTCCAAGAAAACAAAGACTCTCACCACTGGACCAATAGACAACATCATGAAAGATGGAGAAATGATGGAAACTGTCAACAACTTCATCTTATTTGGATCCACAGTCCAAACAAAATGTCTCTTGGTACCAGTAGTCAGGAGATCAGGAGCTGTATTGCACTGGGAAAGCCTACAGTCAGGCACCTCTCCAATAAACTGAGGAACACTGATGTTAGTTTGGGAACTAAGATGCACATGATTCAGCCACTTGCTATGCTGCTGAGAGCTGGGTAATGAATAAAGATGACAGAAAAAAACCCCCGAAACCCTGAAGTATTTGAACTGTGGTGATAGAGGAAAGTACTGAGTATCCCGTGCTAAACAAACAGATACGTGCTGGAGAAGGTGAAGCCAGACCGCTCCCTAGAGGGGAGAGTGGGGAAGTTTCATCTCACACATTTTAGACATGTTGCTAAGAGAGGGTATTTTGTGGAGGAGGACATCATGCTTTCAAAGCTGGACGGACAGTGAAAGAGAAGACCCTCAAGTAAATGGACTGACACAGTGACTGCAGCGATGGTTTCAAGTGTGTCAGAGATGATGAGGTTGGCACAGAGTAGGACAGGGTACAAATCTGATGTTTACAGGGCCTCTGTAAGTCATACTCAACTTGATGGCATCTGACAACAATAACGATATTCTCACAAGGATAGCAATCGAGAGAATTCAGCAGGGCACTTCTGCTCTGCAATGCACGGGGCTATTATGAGTTGCAGGTGAAAATATTAAGCTCAAAATTATCAGTTTGAATCAGTGGGCAAAACCCCTGGTATTCTGCCCCAGGAAAGACAACAGCCTAGAAACTCCTATGTGCCAGTTTGCCTGTGTCATTTGGAGTTGATATGAGTTGGAGTGGACTTGACTGAATCTAAAAAACAACAAATGAAGAGGAAGTGAAGACTCAGGGAGGTGATGTAACTGGTTACAGACACTGTGCTATTCTAAGCAGATCTCACTGAGATCTCATACTGTTGTTGTTTGTTGTTATGTGTCATCGAGTTGCTTGTGACTCATAGTGACCCTATGTACAACAGCTCTAAACTCTGCTCTGCCCTGTGCCAATCGCACTGTCTCCGATACACGCTTCCCGATTACCTCAGTCACTGAATCAATACACCTCATAGAGGGCCTTCCTCTCCTGCGCTGTCCCTCCACCCTCCCAAGCATGGTGTCCTTCTCCAAGGACCAGTCTCTCCTTACAACATGTCCAAAGTGTGTTAGATGGAGCCTCAGAATCCTTGC